TAATACAGATGCAATTGGAATTCAACTCATATGGACAACTTACCGGCATAATCGTTATCCGATTTCATAATTTAAACCAAAACTAATACCAATATTAACATTTCTACAATATTCATTATTTTAATATTTCTAAACACAAAATACTTACTACCTATACGTCAAGTTATTAACCAACGGCTATTAACACGCATTGTTTTATTATTATTACTGTAACCCCATTTTTTATAGCTCAAATAATCTTCACCCAAATTTTCATTTCAAGCGTTTTAAGCATGAAGGCAGATATTTTAAAATTATTACATGTATTTCCCGATCAGATGCTGCCGCTTTCTTTTTGATTTATCTTTCAGCTTACCAATACCCGGAGGATTCTTATTATCCTTGGTAACCTCCGGCGCGCGACGATCCCATCCAATTTGGTATCGAACCAACATCACGTTGATTCTGGTGGGAGAGTAGTGTAGTGGCATTGGACAATAGCCACACAATCCACAAAGCTGTGAACACAAGACTACTCAGAAAATAGATATTCAATATTTAACGCGGATAAATACCTACCAATGGAGAAGGCGCGAACAATGAATTGAATGGACTGGAGTTGATCGAGTGGCATGGCTCGGCCATGCAGGCGTGGTCCCTGCTGGATATTATCCTATATCTCATTCATATTAAATATATTGTTCTTTCTCTATCCTAACCTTGTTCCTCATCAGGTATTGGTAATTGATACGATACAGTGAGTTGGTGTAGTCAATGGTGTGACTTCCACGTAAGATATTATAGATTAGGCAGTTATATCATGACGAATCTACAAATTTAGGATTAGGTCTATTATTAGAGCAGTACTAATATCGTAGTAGACCGTAATTCTACATATCTTCATTTATGTTGATAATTATCTATGAACCACCTCAAATCTGAATACAGCACGATATCCACCACATGTTGGAGTATAAATGCGGATGTTTTCCACATAGAGCCTATTGTTTGTTAAAATGCAACTTAGCCAGGATTGAAACCCATTTTGTTCACATCTTGTGAAGTTCCATTGTTTCGATTCACATTCAGGAAGAAGATACTTTGTGTACTAGGGGAATATCTTGATGAGTTTGAGTGAAGAGGCCTTTGAAAGAGAAGAAATAAAGAAAAGTTGAGCCGAAGAGCATTTAATCTCGCGCGATACACCTACATTTATTAAGGAAACCGATAGGCAGCAACAACACATGTCCCAATCTTGTAGTGGAAACTATAGGCAGGTAGTTCAGCTCGCGACTCCAATTATGATCAACCAGTCTAGTTATCCATTGAAGAAAGGACGACAGACCAAGACTACGTTGCAGTTCTTCCTGAGAAAGGTGAAAACATGGAGCGAAAATTACAATGATGGAAGTTTCAGCGGTATCCGGTTGTAAAACCGTCGGTCATAATATTTATTTTGCTCAATTCCTAAACATTGAGACATGTAATACGATGGACAGCTCGAGATCGATTAGAACATTTGGACTTCTCAGATGACTTTGCCCTCCTGTCCCATACACACGAACAAATACAAATGAAGACAACTCATGAAGCAGCAATCTCTGCATCAGTAGGCCTCAATACACACAAAGGAAAAAGCAAGATCCTCAAATACAACACTGAGAATGCCAACCCAGTCACACTTGAAAGAGAAACTCTTGAAGATATGGAGTCCTTCATGTACCTCAGAAGCGTCATCAATAAACAAGAAGGACCTGGTTCAGGCGTAAAGACAGGGATTGACAAACCAAGGGCATCATTCCTACAATAAAAGGGCATATGGAGCTCTAAACAACTGTCAACCAATATCAAAGTCTGGATCTCCAATACGAACGTTAAGACAGTCCTGCTGTACGGAACTGAAACGTGGGAACTACTACAACCATCATCAACAGCTTAGAATTTTTTGCGAATAGTTGTCTACCCAAGATACTCAGCATTCATTGGCCGGATACCATTAACAACAGCTTTATGTGGGAGAGGACAAACTTGGAATCCTCAAGGGAAGTAGAAAAGAGGAAGATCAAAGAACACACTGCGTCGATAATTGGAAGCAGACATGAAGAAGATAAACAACAGCTGGAAAGAACGGGAAAGGGTTGCATAGGACAGGATTGGACGAAAAGTGCTGGTGGGCGGCCAATACTCTTCCACGAGGATCAACAGACGTAGGGAAGCAAGTTAACCACTGAACCGACCAGGACACCAAGTCCTTAGACGGCAGTTCCGAAGGCATCAAGAAGCACTGACGTTGTGATTTCAGAAAGCGGCTAACTTCATTATGTATGATGGATTATAAGTTGCCCAATAACAGCTTTTATTTGATTCCTGGATAGGGCGTCGCTGCAGCCTAGGCATCTTTGACACACATTTAGCTACATAAAATTTCTAAAGCTTCAAATATGCTATGTTCGTGAGATAATGATTTTGCGAAGAGTTATATATGGCCATACTAAACAATAAATACCGAAATCATGCCCGAACGAATAATGTCGCAATTGTCACTACAACTACAATGAAACTGCCTTCACACTTCTAGGGAACAGGATATAATATTTTAGGTAGCTAGTCGTATTGGGACTAGAAAGTGTTTATTTAACTAATTACAAACACTTAAGTCAAATCACTGTTTCAAATTTGGTAAATGTAGCGGTAATTCGATGGTTTACTGTTCGCAAAGATGGTCCTACATGTCATTGAATTATAATCCCTTTCAGATTCCTTTACTGGTTAAGTGAACTTTATTTAAATCACCATTGGCCTCTCTCCCAAATATTACTTCAAAGTACCAGTTGGCTAGTCGCAACGATATAACTTACTGGACATTACGATTACTCAATATCATAACTGAATATTATGTCTAATTTCGAAGAAGACAAGTCATCACTCCGAGAAGGTAACGTCAACTCGTTTGCATACTTTTCTTAGATGGTTGCACTTCCGTGGAAATAAATCATAGTATACCCGCTACAGAAAAATTAAGTAAACTTCCTCTCTCACGTGTTAAAATAATAGTAAAAACGGTGCCGTCTGTTTCTCTAGTTACTTCCGAGGCACTGGCTTCAATTGGGTTTCTATGTGAGCAATTTATACAAGATTTTTGTCGTAGTGTTATTGAAGTAACTGCACAAGAAGGCAAGAAAACGGTCACCAAGCAACATGTTCAGAGTACTGTTCAATCAACCCAGAAGTACGAGTTCCTCGATGGAATTATCGAGTGATCTGTATTTGTGGGAGGTTACCGCGTCACATCTATTATGTCAAACATCCTCATAACCATCAAAGCATCATAAGACTGTCTATCTTGTAAATTAATATTGAAATACATCTGATGCCTATTAATATCGTGATAAGTCTAATTTAGTCAAACGATTAGTGGTACGTGGTCGCTATATCGTGCAGTAAAGTAACGGGCGTTCGGACTAATATGCTCCCTTAGGTGCTTAAGTGATTGGGGCTGTGTTACTGAAGTAGTTTGTAGTGTTTGCCTAGGTTGATTTGTAACTTGAGGTTGAGAAGGACATGCTGAATGATCAAGGCAACACACCAACCCTATAGGTTGATTAGTACTCACAAAGTTCGTAAGAACTCCAGTGACTAACAAACTATGTGTGACATTCTGCAACTGCTGTATCCATATACTAAAAATGGAGATATCTCAGCGTTAGTCAATATGGTGTGAATAAATCCACTCTTTCGGTAAATAATTTGTTGCTCTTCATCCACTTTACCTCTACCCAAGTTCTTAGTTTTTACATCATTTGTTTTCATAACTCGAATATTCATTTTTGAATATTCTATGGGGATTTTCTAACTGTTTTCATAACTGTTGTGCATCGAGGCGACTTTAGATAGTGTACATTGAGTTTGTGAAACAACCCAGCAATCCGTGACTAGTTAAACAAAAGTGAGTGTCTGTTCGTCGGATCTCAGTATAAACTAATAAGCATGTATCTCAAGCAAATAAGTGTTTAAACGTTAACCTATTTAACGATTGAAGACTTATGCTCCAGGTAGTCATTATCAAAAACAGTTGTTGCACTTGCTACTTCAAATCGAAACCTTGAGGTGAATCAACTTATGTCACCAAACACTACAACTGCTCATTATTTAGCCCTATGGAACTGCACCTGTAATGTCATAACTGGACAAAGTTCTGCTTACCACATTCGCTTAAGGAAGTCATATTTGTAATATTGGTGATCAAATTTGGCAATCATAAATGCCGAGTGTATTGCGATAAATAGGGGACTAAACTCTGAAAGGGGACCTTTACTACTAGAATTGATACCTATAACTAATTAATCACAGGACTGAAGCCTGTAAATACATCTAGTTTCTCACTAAATTGCGTCAACTAAAACACTGTTCATAGCGACGCCACTGATAATCATTAAGTTGTTTCATTTTATCGTAATTAAAAGCAAACCATAATATCCATCACTCCCAAATATTTGTGGCTTTAGATTTCTAATGTTTCTAACCATATTGGTTTTAAAATATTCTCCCCAATATCGATGGTTAGTGACTGGCCTAGGGTGTTTATGAATTCAAAGTTCGCAGTGTAACATCAAAAGATTATCCATAGAAATCTCATGGCCAAAGTGAAGTTTAACAGACGCCCGTTACTTCTAGCTGTCATTGTGCGTTAGCTGCCGAGTTTTCATTTGTTAGTTCACTGATTTTGTAAATCTCTAAAATGTTTACAAAACCTCATTCTTAAGGAGTAAAATGAATATTTTAGTTATGTGCAAAATAAAACTGGATTTCTACCCGTCTCAACACCTGAAGAGTACAAATGGCGTTCACAAACCCCATTAGTTGTAAAAAAAGTGTAATTCAAAGACTAGAATTAGTTTCATAAAAAAATAAGCTATGATGAAAAAAATAAGAGGAAACATTTGAGTTGTTACAGCAGTAGACCTGTAATGAAACTGAAAATGATGAATAATGTCAACGGTGATACAAATTTCTACGTAGATTTAATCTGAAAATGAATTATCTTCAGAGTCAATCTCACCACATAGTGGGTAGTTTTCAGGTTTCGGTTCATCTTTAACCTTTGAAAGTTCGGGATTTCTGCATTTCTTGAGAAATCGCCATAAAATGTATAAAAGAATGGATGATATGTAGATCATGTTCATAAGGAATGAAACAACAGATATGCAAATTATGAAAGAAACCTGTGGATAGTAGTATAGAACGTTTTGAAATCCGCTAAGCGTCGTCTGTATTTTAAGCTCCAAAGCTGACCATAAGTAGCGTTTGGACTCCATAATGATACGACCTTCCAAAACTGGTTGAGTCTAAAACGTTAATCAGTTACAACTAAACAGATATCTGTGCTCATGTTAACATAAAATAATGTAACGAAAAGATTATTTCTAACTTGATGAAATGACAATCAGCTAAGCGTAGGTTGCATTAAAAAATACAGGGAATAATTTATAACAAACTGATACAAATTATAAGTTTGCCATGGCAAGTCGACAACCGTCGCGATTTCAACAAATTTTGTTTGTTTCTAATAGCTACTGCTTCAGTGATCCGTTAAGCAGTTGCTCTCTTTCCCCTGCAAATTATTGAGAAGAGTTGGTGGAGGTCATCAATATGCCCATCATCGACCAGACGTTGACTGATTGCACTGTTTACGGGTGTGTCGTCGTTTAGGTTTTCTGGAAGGTGATCCTAAACGTAACTATGGACCCTTCTCTTTATCCTTTTAATACTTGTTCTTTAGCCGTTGCATAGACAGTCTTAAATGTGGTATTTATTCTGAGACTAGTTGGTCCAACAGTCTCATTCTTTTTGAAGACAAGGTGAGGGCAGTAAATTTAATTTACAACTGTATTACACTTGATGCGTTCGTCCTAGAATGCTTATTGGTGAATTTCTGTGTGCATTTATACGTAAATATTTTTAACGATTACGATCTTTCTTTAGAAGAAGAGTCTCTAACCAATGGTTGGAGACTCTTGGTGACATGGCTCCGAATCGATTACAATGGTATCGGTATATACACTCTCTGTATTCCCTTAAACTAAGAAATTAAAATCGCTTCATATATTTCTTTCTACGAACTAATTTTTCCTGTACTATATCTTTATATGCAATCGTTCTTTTATATATTACCACCTCTGAATTAACTACTTTTATTAATCCGGTGTCCATCATGTTGTGTTAATGAGGTATGGCAACTTGGACCGATACATATATGTGCCTGGTCCTACGTTGTAGCTGACTGAGAAGAGAGCCTACTAGTACGGCTAAAAAGCGGTTAGTATAACCCCTGTCTTACAGAAACTGCTTTAGTTCGGGTTCCACTCTTTAGATCTCGGAAGTCAACTAGCTCCAAGTGCGAAGCTACAAATATATTTATCGCGAAAACATGACGTGAGGTTCATCTGTTTTTAGTTATGCAATCTTTGCTTAGCTTATTGCTCTTTTATTCATTTGAAAATTATCTTTCACTAGCTAGCTTAATTCGTGAACTTATGCTGATATCCACTGTTCATTAAATTTCCTAACTAGTATTTACTGTTATCATCCTAAACGTGTAAGGTTGTAAGCTACTGATAAGAACTCACCGAATAAAAGCAGATTTCTATTATTTTGCGTCGATTGTTTTTTTTGTTTTATCCAAAAAAATTTAAAAGTGTTTAGAGTTCATTTGCGATCCACATAGCATAACTTTGAAACAAAATGTCTAAATTTATGAGTTAGAATTAGTGATGCCCAGTAAATGAAGTGACTGTCAAGTTGTTCTGCTACAAACTGACAGTTTAAATTTCTGTTAATAATCTCACAGTTATCAAGTCGTAATCATTTTAAACAGGATTTGCAGTGATATATTCACAATCTGATATTTTTAGTCATGAAAAACCGAAGCTTTCTGTCGTTGCAGAGACAAGTGGAAGATCCTATATAGCTTTTTGATTTTCAGCCCTATCCTTAAAAACAGGTAATCGTGGAAAAATTGCTCTTTGATATATTCATATCCAATGATTAGCCGAAAACAAAACATATTTTACTAACAGTAATGAAAATGTAGTGAAACATTTTACGTGGTCTTTCTTGGAGTTGGAGCCAAGTATCTCCTTAATGCTTGGATCTCAATGGATTCTATTCAATGCAAACCTATTATTGTTTGTCAAAGTGATTCCTAAAAGCTACTTTTTTAATTCCATTGTATGCAAGCGACTAGATTTCCAAAAAGACTAATAAATTATTGTAACACTAGTAATTTCAAGTTTTTGTAACACAGTGGGACCTATACAGTAGCAAGGTGAATGGTTTGAGTGCGCGTCACTTATTTTCCAGGTTTATTTTGAGGCGGGAACTTCTTGGTAAACTACATTGGCAGAAAAAATCATGGCTTGGAAATCTTAAACTGTTAGCATCAATTTAAAAAATAATTGGGTATACAGTAGTAAACTGACCGCATCGAACTGGAAACTAGATGACATCTCAATTGAAAGCAGCAGTTCTTCTTTCATCCTACCGATTATATACAGGGGGGCAAACAGTATATTATTTATCATTCGAACTTCATTAGATCGATAAGGCATTGAAAACTACAAAAAGAAGCAACATTTCTACGAAATAGTAAAACAATAAAAGGAATGTGGTGAACTATCTACCAAGAACAGAAAGATAGTTTTGGAGATTAGTGTGGGTTAGCGCTTCAGCCAGTAGACCAGTAAGAAATAAGACTCTCTGGGTCGCTGTTATATTCTAGTTGGATACCATCAGGAGAGAACACGTACAACTCCTCTAGGGATCGAGCTTAGAACCTTCATGTTTAGCAGTAGACGTACGTATCAATCTCGTAAGCATGTGCTCATAAAACAGGTAGGGTTCAGAGAATAGAATGTTCGTGTGAATTCTAACTCATCTTCTGGAAATACATTTCACTTTATAGTTATTTGATGCAATTAGAAATTTATGAATATTACCATAACAGTAGTGGTATTAGCACCATTTCCTTTAGATGAAAATCGGATAAGGGGACTAGGAAGTTCCTTGTTTTAATATTAAAAGATAAAGGAAGCAGGGAAATCAAGTTAAGTGGTTGGAAGTGAGAGAATTGAGAAAACAGACTTGAACACAATACGAAGAATGCTGGAGCGAACACTCGCTTTAGATAACTTTGTGATATGGCTCTACAACCAACGATACAAAATTATCGTATTACACTAAATAAGGTATCGAATTTGAATTGACTAGCGTTATAAGTAGTAAGTTTCACGTCGATTGAGTTTTTAATACTACAAATACAAAAAACGTCGTTGGCCAAGTTAGAAAGATCATATGCTTTGAGCCCCAATCAAATAGTATATAACAATGTTTTATTGCATAACTGTAAGTAAAATTTACACCATGTTTGTTACTTTGTCCCATTTTGTGAATATGGATTCAGTAACAAAATCTATAAATTGATTTTTACTTAACTGCCAATTTGTTTGGTTTTTCGAAAGATAAGAGTGTAATTTCCTGATATTTTATGCTTTGTTACAAAACGATGGTTGAAGACCAAATGCACTAAATCTTTGGAGGACCAATAGCATAGTATTGATTTTTCGAGAATAGTCTCGTTTGGCTATAACCTTGAGAGAAACATCCTGTTGCCAGTAAAATGAAAGACCTATAGTTTCAAATCTCAACCTATTAACGGTAGCTGATACGTTTATCACTGTGGCTGATTTTTGAAGCATCTACTTAAAGAGTTATGCGTAAATACATAGTATTTTTTAACTATTTGCACAAATTATGCGGAATGCTGTTAACTCAAATTGTTTTAAACAATCGTTAACAAATAAGACTAGAATTTTCACAGCAATACTTCAAACTTACTGGTTTTCTGAATCGCTGTATAAGAACATGTTCACGGCCATATAGTTCTAGAGTGATAATACTCATACCTGATGAAAAAATAATATCCAGTATTAAGATAATAATGAGTATCTTAGTAAGAACACAACGTAACAATAAACAACCATAAGGAAAAAAGCACGTACATTCTACAGTACAGTTCATTTAATAGAAATATGATGACGTGAAAAGTTGCCGAAATAGAAAAAGCGAAGAACGTCTTACTAAGATCTACGGCTTGTCAAATTTTTATGCCCTCGGATGATCATGGTTTGCACCTGTCTTACAGAGTAAAAGCACAGATGATTGAAATCTTTCAGATACAAATATATACTGGGGTAGAAAGTTGAGAAAAACACGAGATTGGTCAGTACTAAACACTATAAATTTGTATTTTATTGAACAGTTTATTCAACGTCAGCAGGTTATTGATCATCTAGAAATATAAAACGATGTTCAACCAACCACGGATAATGCACTTTACTTAATAACGTTGGTTGTGTTTGAAATACAGCTCTTTACTAATAAGTAATTCATAATTGTTTGATTTAAAATTAACATCGAATTATACGATGCAACTGCTAGTCCAGATGAGATGACAGTTAATGTCATATAAGATAATAACCCTTGACGATTGTTGGCTCAAAGACCTAGTTGTAAATTTAGTTTGTCGTTGTTTATCAGTACATTTAGCGTCTTGGAGAGATTTTAAGATTCTCAGAGATTATAGTCAACATTACTCTACATTACAATCATACGTTGACAATGTGCTGGGTGAGCTGGGATTGGTTTTTGCAAAGTGGTTATGGGTCCCAAAAAGAATAGGATATTTTTGGTTTTGAAACACATTTTGAAGGTGACTACCAGCAAAAATAACATTAATACTATGGTTTTCCGACCAAATACCTTTAGATACACATCTAGTTTTGTATTCACTTGGAGATCATAACTAAATGATAGAAAACTAAGACCACTAAACCATAAAGAGGGGAATGTGAGGATAGAAACCACTCACCTGCATTTCTATTATGAATGGAATCTGGAAGCCATAGGTTTAGCATGAGCATGTATGGATATTTGGGTGTTAAGAGCTACAAACCATCCATAATTTAGAACAAGAAACTAACAGATATTCCACTTTCAGAAACAGAGAAATTGGCTGTAGGAAAACTGCAAACGTTGGGACACCCCGTTCGTACATTACATTTTGTACTAAAATTGAAGTAAACAGACATGGGGAAGGTTAGCATACTCAAACACTAAATCTAATTCTCTTTCCAATTTTACAGTTGGAATGTAGGTTTGGTATAGGAGAATAAACACCATAACTCCATACGCAAAAGTCACTATTTCAATCATCAAAAATAACAGAGCATAGTGGATAGCCTTCCACGGTATTGAAGATAACCAGGACGCATCGTAACCGATTTTACCAAGCATTAGAGTACAATATATTATTGCTGAAAGTGAAAAATTAGTTTATACTTGATACTGAAACACGTTTTTTAATACAATAATCATAGATCACAATCTGTATTGAAAATTATCATATCAGGCAAGCCAGGAATAAATTTTAACAATGTTTATTATTAGGAAATTCATAGTGATTAACAACAGTCATTTCAACTACTTGCTAAAATAATAAAAAAATATGTCGACACACTTTACAAATATTTCTTACAATTAATCCATAAGCTGTAACGTGGAAATCTATAGAAGTCAAAAGTACAGGCTTACTAATAACTATATCTCCTTTTTATCTAAAACTTCACCAATAATCAGAAGAGACTAATCCCATGTAGGGTCGTATACTATTATTGCTAAGAAGCTCCGCTTTAGGATGGAACATACCCGAAGCTATTTTATATCCACTGGTTTCCCAGCTGACACTAGTGTACGATATATACCAACTTCAAATAGTACTGATTATTATATCTACCCATAAGAGTTATGGATAATTTGGTCAGATATCTCGTGATATTTGTCTAAAGTTGTTACCCGGTTATTAGAAAGCAGTACATTGGTCCACTTGGTCAATATATTTTGCTTTAACAAGCATAAAGTTTTAAGATCTGACCACAGTAACTGTTGGAACAGTAGTCGCTTATGGTGGAACCAGGTGAGTAATGCAGAGGCTGGGTGCAGAAGGATAGTTAAAGGTGATGAAATGACTGACGAAACTGTAGATATTCATCTACTGGGTGGTTGATATAGACCAATAAAACGCCATTCGATGATATCGCATTATTAAACCAAATTATTTCAACAGATGTAGACTATCTGATTGTGGTACATAGGATCATCATGATCGCAATGAAGAGCATATGCCAGTTACTTACCTTTCTCTGAGTTACAAATTTTGTTTTTCATTACCAACAAAATTCTTACTTCCAATTCTTTGTTCATCTCCTGGCTAATTTTTTTTACAGTGTAGCGACTTTAGCATTAAGATTTTTCGCAAACTTGCACTTTTTCCCTTAAGTAAATAAGTAACGTTAATAAGACGTGGTTCCTAATGGAAACACGAAAGAAATAGAGATATCCTTCAATGCTTGTATGTATAAAGAATAATGGCTGCTGAATTATGAATACCAAATACGTTTGTTCAATAGAGTGACATATCAAATAACTAGTGTTCATTCAGAAGATTCAACAGTCAACTCTTTATAATGTACGAAGGCTTATAAATGTGACAAGTAAACTTAAATATTAACATTATTTACCTTGATTTTGTGAAATGAATTTCTGGTAGTAGCACTTCATGTTCAGGTGTACAAAGATGTAGACAAGTATGACACACTCTCGTGAATGGAACTCATAAGTAAAGGATGAAGTATTTACTCTGGATTACTTTTCTGAGAGGTATTCAGCACTTCGAAAAATAGCTTTTTATGCATGTCAATTTACAGGGGGTTGCTAAGGTGAAATTATATTGTTTTCGAAAAAAGTGCTCCGATAAGCGATATGTTCAGAATCCATAATCTCCAACAGCAACATTCATACTTAGTTCGTAGTATCCTGTTCTACCGTACTTGTTATAAAACAATACTTAGTTGATTTTTCAGGAACCGAAACCGGTGAATATGGTAAAGATGCATATGTTTTTGGTAAAGTAAAACGGTTAAGTTGGTTTATTTCCACTAACTAACACGTTACAGAGACAGATCGAATTCCCAATATCGAAGTCCTAGAGCAGCCAAGATTTCGGTTTTAAAATATTACCGTCTACTTCCGACTGAGGAGTATGATTGTGCTAGGTCCCTAGCAAAGGCCATGAGATGAAGTTCGAAAATGTGATCGCAAAGATACCACATTGTAAAATGAAGTAGAAGCTTGGAATAAGTGAAATACTTTAAATATAGGCTCATAGACACGCAAATGCTGGTCTGATAAAATGCCAACTTACAAGAATCACGTGGTTGGCCCTGTAGGAAATAAACGCTCAAAAGGATTGGCAAGTCGAAGATCAGAATGTTCTTGATTTTAAGATGAAAAGTGTTTATGAATCTAGAAACACTGAGAAGAAGGAAATTTACTACTTCGATGATTACGAAAAGCATGATCTGATTCCTTAGTCAAGTATATGACATCTTGGACACTAGATACAAAATGTTAACACTAAGAACTTAGGTATCACAGACAAGATGTTGAACCGTTGAGGGGTTTCTATTTAGAAAAAAGACTCTCAATCTCCCAAATTCGAGGGAAATTTTGCCAACCTTTTGGGAACCCGAACTAGAAAACTTAGGGTAATGAGACGAAAACCCCAAGACTTTCCCTGGTCTGAGATTTTTCCACAGAATTCCAAGCTGTTTAAGGGAAATACTCAAGAGTTTTGGTCCTTACCGAAATTCCACCAAACTTCGGAAGAGACTACGAATTTTGATGTGAACTTGTGGTAAATCCCAAGATTCATCTGAAGTTTCGCAATTTCTCGAAAATCCAGATATCGGGCTTGAAAAACATAATCCGGATTATGCAGCTGGCCAGCTGCAAAACAGATCACAGATAACCTGGATAAACTTTCATTCCGTTTACTATATTTCAAGATCGGCTCGTAAATTTACTAGCTATGATGCTTAGCATACTATTAAAAACATTTTCTGCAGAAAATCAAATACAGCAATTGGATACTAGTATCTAATATCGACCTTACGCCTAAGGTAAATATGTGGATATAAAAATATTAACCTATGCATAGACTGCTTTTGAGTTTCACATAAAAACAGGTAATTTTTTACAAGTAAATTAGGTGGCCATCTTATTATGCTTTGATTACTTGATTCCGTTCAGGTGTTTTCGAATGGGGTGCCGCAAATGCAGCAACGCGTCAACGGTATCGTCCACTGATGAAGGTTGCTGAGCCCTTGAAGGTCAAACCGTCGTAAAATGATTGGTGCGTCGGCTCGATAATTCGTGAAGAAGCGGTCAAATCAAGACATTTTTAGATTTGGATGGAGTTCAGGCACATTATATGTGATAACGTCCATCCTTCAAGTAACGAAGATGATGACATCGTGATGATGCGTGATATAGGACGAATCTTCAACGATATTATGTCATCTCGACGGCCTTCAGTCTTCAGTAATAAGGAATCTCACAATTCTGGGGAAACTTTTACCCATTTGATAGGAGCTGCTATAAAAAATTCTGGGGAAAATGGCACTAAAACCTCCGAATTTCCCCTAAACCTTGGGGATTTCGACAAACTTGGGAGATTGTGTACATAAGGTAATATGACTTATGTGGTTGATAATTATTTTTGCAGTATACACATACTGAGTACGTCGTTTCAGTAAGTAAAAAGAAAAATGATGACTCAACTTCAAACTATTTTTTCGTCAGATATGGCTGTACATATGGACGTAAACACAGTTCGTCAGAATTCGATGTTTGTCTTCAAGATGTAGATGATGTTAGTGATCATCATTATTCCGAAGAGCATACAACTTCTAACTCAACACCACAACCTAGACTAAGAAGACGATGTCAGTCATCTATGTATGTCTTGTTCCGAATAAATCTGTCCTTCAGGTCGAAATATTGCCATTGTCAATCTGGATTTTGGGTTTGTGCTTTAAATGGTGACCTAAAAGTGATCTCTAATAAAACCGTGCACAACCATCCTTGCACACCTAGCTGAATGTGCTCGGTCATGCATCAGCACCAGATCACGAGTGAGAACACTGTGCTCAACCCAAGCAATCACTAGCCAGATTAGATCAGTCGATTCTCCATATATTGGTAGCCTATCAAATATATATTCGAACTTCCTCGCTTCTGTCTTTTGGTGCTCGCAGCCTACTTAATAAAATGGCGAGGCTCAAGTCAATGGTGGATAAAGAAAAACCGAATGTTATTGATGTCTCAGAAACTTGATTACCGTTAGGAGTATTAGATAATGAAATTAAGTTGACCGGTTTTCTATCCAGTAGGGCTGAGAGATTAGCCGTAGGAGAGGTGAGGTTATCCTGTACACGAAATGTACCCTGACTACAATAGTAGTTGAAACAGTGGCACGTGTTTCAGGGACATGTGAACTAGTGCGATGCAAGTTGGAGTGCAGACGGCAGGATATTGAATTAGTTGTAGTATATCGCAGTCCATAATGTGTAGCAGATGATCTCCTCCTGAGTAAACTTAAGTCCTGTTGTAACAAGGGTAAAAGCCTTGTAGTAGGCGACTTTAATGCACTGTATATAAACTGGGTTAACTTAGAAATAGGGTCATCGATAACGTCATTAAATTGCAAACTGTTAGAAACCTCGATTGGATTAGCTTCATCTCAACACATTAGAAATCTCACAAGATTTGACTTAAGAAACTGTTCTTCTCCTTTAGATTTAGTCTTCACACACGTGACGACGTTGGTCAAATGACTTTCCTCCCACCACTAGGGAGAAGTGAACATGCGGTCATATTATTCAAATTCATATCTCAGATGGCCTGTCAAAGAGTTGCGCCCGCCCGTTCTAACGTATGGAATGCAGATAGAGAGGCAATGGACTCCGCAGCATCGGCTGATTTCAGGCAGTTATACAATCGGGTAACTCAACCATACATACCCTGGACAGGCCCAGAGACGAAGAAGAAGAAGCACGGACATCCCTGGATAGGCCGGTATATTCGACGTTTGCTAAGACAAAAGAAGGAATGTTTGGATGTTGCTATCAGCCTTGGCGCAGCGGGTACAAAGAAACGCTACAGATCGGTAAGAAACACGTGTATAATTGAAGTTAGGGAAGCTCAAAGAAAATATGAAACGCAGTTGATACAATCTGCACGCAAACAGCCTAAGAAAATATTCTCGTACATAAACTACAGAACAAAGATGCATCACTGAATTCCCAACCTAACTAAAGAAGGGAGTGTATCTGAAATAATAGTGGAAGATCAGGAAGGAGCAGAGGCGATGGCTGACTGTTTTGGGGCAGTTTTTACTCAGGAACTTCCTCTAGACAAAGAACCAGACCAAAATACAAAGTCAACAAACCACCTGCTCACCATGGACTTCGGTCAAGACGATACACTTAAGGCTCTTTAGCCTTAAATCTTGATACATATTACAAAATATATCGCGGCCACACTGACTGTGATATTCAACATGTCACTTGACCAAGGTGTGTTACCTATGGACTGGAAGGACGTAATCGTCACCCCCGTACATAAAACAGAACAACGGCACCTTCCATCGAACTACAGACCTGTAAGCCTCAACATTGTTGTAGTTAAAATATTGGAAAGAAAAGCCATAATGACACTTATGGAAACCAATAACTTGCTAAACAGCGAACAACCTGGTTTTAGAAAAGGTTTACCTTGCGCAACAAATCTTCTTATAGCAAGGGAGCAATGAATAAAGGCTCTAGACAATGGAAAATCAGTGGATGTTGTCCAAATAGATTTCAGTAAGGCTTTTGACAAGGTGCCAGATAATAGACTGCTACTGAAGTTAGAAAATCTCGGTATTGCCGGACCTCACCTAAAATGGCTTTAGAATTTCCTAGTAGGTCGCAGACAGAAAGTAGGAAGGAATTTCAAGTGTTTCATCTGAATACCAATATTTAGTGGAGTACCTCAAAGTTCCGTTCTAGATCCTTTATATTTTCTACTGTATATAAATGAACTCCCAAGATTAATACAGCCCCCAATGTTATTATACGCTGACGATGTAAAAGTCTGGAGAGTAATAACTGGAGACACAAACTCATGCGCTTCTTCAGGCAGACTTGAATAAGGTGAATAACTAGTCTGAAGAGTGGCTGATGCCTATCGACGCGGCAAAGTGTGTCTAAACGCAGTTTGGGGGATACATAGGTTAATGAGTGCAGCATAGGGGAAGTGCCGGTACCCATGGTCTGAAGTGACAGTGAGCCATGATCTTAAGACGACCTCCCGGCAAGGGTTTTAAAACCCCAGGAACCTTAAAACGAACATTCACCAGGTTAGATACTACCAGGTTCACCACAGTATACACAACCTTAGTGAGAACTAAGCTTGAGAACTACGTTCAAGATGCAAGCCCCTGTTTAAAATGTGACTCGGATATCGTAGAAGAAGTACAGAGGGCAGCTACCCGTGCAATTCTAGAACTCCGAGGTTTACCGTACAAACAAATATCTGTTGAATATCACGCCGGGCTCACCAGTGTAGATCACCAACGTAGATGATCTATGTCGAAATGATTGGACGCCTACTCGAGTTAAGCGTGAATGGTGTGACAAACTAGCTAACGTCGAAGTCACACCTCGTGGTCAGCGCTT